TTATAATTTTTCAAAGTGTCAGAAATGGATAACAAAACTGCGATTTTCAATGACTACTTATTTTTGTCCAGCTTTAACATCGGTATCGATATCGGTTATCGGCTACATGAGTTTTAAAATATCGACATATCGGATATCGGCCAAAATCCCAATATCGTGCATCCCTAATTCTTTCATGTTCTCTCAACCAACACAGTCAGGAAAAGAAGAAGATTAACCTATTTTCTGTCCATATAACTGTTGTTAGTATATTATAGTTTTTATTAATTAATGCAAAAACTTCACTTCACTAGAATATTTTTAAATCAACGAAGAGTATTTTGACGTGCTTTCTATATATAAAAAAGCTCTGCTTGAACATTGTCTCTACCCAACAAACCATGATTTTGACATTTCCTACAGCACTTAAAAGCATCATGGTGACCACGCAGTTTGTGGCTGCATCTTCTTTAAGGTGGAGATGGATGGATGAAGCAGACAGGTTTGTGAAGATGACAGCCCAAAGTAGATCATTATCTGGGCCTTACAGAAGCATACAAGCAGTGAGAAAACAGGGATCATAAAAGTCCAGATTAACTTTGATTTATAGAAACAGAATTATCTGCTTAAACTTTAACTAAATTACAAAAAAAAAAAACATAAAATCGCTACATTAAAAAAGAAAACATTGCACATTTTTTGTCTGTTGTAAAAGTTTTTTTTTTTAGTTTTAAAAAACGTCTGATGTCTCCAGGGTAATTTTAGCCATGACAGCAACAGGGAACAAACAGGGCAGCAGCAGCGGAGGCTAAACCCTGGGCAACCCTTAAATCACAAACTGGGCAGTGTTCGCACATTCTTCCAGCTCTCCAGCGTCTCCTGGCAAGCTGCTAAATGAAGACCCAGGCTGACCCTGACAGGCTTGCAGACTTGAACTAATCCAGGAAAACGAATAAACAGACAGAATATATTGTTGTTTACACCCAAAGTGTTTGTGCAAGAGATTAAGCATCAATAGTTTAATCTACTTGACCAACAAACTATGTTTGCTGCTTCACTCATAAGGTAAATGTTTAGAAAATAGAAAATAGTATTGCCATTGTCAGCTAAATAAGACAATTCATAGGGCCATGCAAAAATGACTGACGTGGGAAAATAAAAAATGCTCACAGCTCTAATTTTGAATATTACCAACCCAAAATTTGTTGCCGGTTGCTTAAAAGAAATGCGGCAAAGCGAAAGCTGTCAGCTGCCTCCTCGAGCAGAACAGAAGCTTCATTCAGCAGCACAGGCTATCCTCAATATACACTTTGTTTGAATGCAAGCTACATGTGGCCTCGTGCAGGAGGACAGGCATGCAGTTGTTTGGAAGAGCTTTGGTCACGGCTGCCGTCTTCTTAACATCTCCAAATGATTCAGTGAAACCCAAAAAAACCTCCGTGTTAATCACTGTTCTGTTTGGGAATTCTGTCAGTTTCCTGGAAAATCTGAACAAATCCGTTAAATGACACAAACTCCACAGCTGCAGACCGAACAATGGCCAAGGAAGACATGATAGTGCACAGCTGCTTGGAAGATGTTTGTAATTGAGTTTGTGAGCTGGGGAAGGCAGGGTGTGTCAGCACGGCCGCTCTCTGGCAAAAAATAAGCCTCAAACGTCCAACACGGTTTTACTGGATTGCCTTTTTGGTGTCTGCAGAAACATGTCGATGCAACAAGCAGAGC